ATGTGCTTATCCACTGTAGGTAACACAGGTGATAGAGGAGATAAAGTGTAAGAATGATGTCTTTAGATACACAAAATATGTAAAGGGACAATCCAACCATCATGACAGGAGCAAATTCAGTGAATTATATGTGCATATAAAGGTAGGGGTTTGGGAGGTATAGTAGAGAAAAGATGAAGTAGTTCCATTCTGACTGCACAACTTTTTAATGAAATAAAAGACAAAGTCTAGTTAAAAATAAACAGACAGATGGAGAAGATCAGAGGAGAGAGAAGATAAGAAGTAGTCATCTCAGAGAGGGCGAGAACAAATTATGTAGATTAATGTGGTAAGTATGCTGGGTAAGACTGGGGTCCACTTCAGAGAGATGGCCATAGATTCGAGGCATACAGCACAGTAGTGTGTTTTCTGGCCATATACAATGTTGGGTGCAGGCATGGAATAGATAAAGTATTAAGTCTAATCAGCACTGTGATTTTGCCAGTTGAGTACAAAGGAATGGTGTCATCATTAATAACAATGAAGTGTATATCTGTAATCTTGGTGCTCATGGTGCAGCATCAACATTGCCTCAAATCAGAATCTGTATTGTAATAAGACCTCTAAATGATCCACATGCACTTTGAAACTTGAGAAATACATGAGTTGGAGCCAAGTGAGAATAGAAAAAAAATCATTAAGAGAGAGGACAGGTTAAAGAAGTGAGAAATCAGGCTTTACATGACTCCTCTAGGTAGATTTTACAGCCATCAAAATTGATGGCAGGAGGAATGACTGAGTCAAAGAAACAGGCATATAAGAAATTGTCCAGGTGGCAACAAACAGCCTGTGAGGCTTGTAGTCCTGGTGATTAAAGCAAATTAATATGAAAGAATAATGGGACTGCTGGGCATGGTAGCACTTGCCTAAAGTCCCAGCTACTCTGGAGACTGAGGGCAAAGAATCACTGGAGCCCAGGAATTGTAGGCCAGCCTGGGTTACATAGAGAGAGAGAAAAAAAGAGACAAAGAGGGAGGGAAGGAGGAACAAGAAAGAGAAGACAAAAGAAAAGAAGTAGAGTGGAAAAGCAAAAATTATGTGATTAGTTCTGGTAGTCTTTTAAGAGAAGGAGATAGTTGTGGTTGTAGCCTCATTGCAGGATTGGTCTCTTGGGCAATTTGTCCTGATCATGAGGCAACACTGTAGTGGAAAGAGCTGTGGTTGTACTAGGAGCACATGAGTCTGCGCATGTAGAGTAACTGAGGGGGAAATGGTAAACTTCTTTCAGATCCACACATCAGCATGCCCTTGGCAACGAATTGTCTTTATACAAAAAATTATTAATTGCTTAGATTTAGGATAACTACCCAAAAATCTATGTTTGTACTAGAGAGTGTCATAACTCCATATAAGACGAGAGGGGTCTAGGGTTTATATATATATATATGTTGTAGAGGGACACAATAGTTTTACTTTATTTATTTACCTTTATATGATGCTGAGGATTGAACCCAGTGCCTCACATGTGCTAAGCAAGCACTCTACCACTGAGCTATAACCCCAGCCCTAGAGGGGTCTGTTTTTCTTGAAAAGAAAAGAGACAAGGACTAACATAAGGGAGAAAGGAATAGAAGATGGGGAATACAAGACAGTAAAACTTCCTGGTAGCAGCTAAAGGATATGATTAGAAATGTGAGGCCTCCTGTTCTGATATTGGGTAAGTTTCTCCTCTAATAAAAACCCTCTGCTTGGGCTGGGATTGTGGCTCAGCAGTAGAGCACTCGCCTAACACAGGTAGGACCCGGGTTTGATCCTCAGCACCACATAAAAATAAAGGCCTTGTGTTGTAATCTATCTACACCTAAAAAATAAATATTTTTTAAAACCCTCTGCTTTTCTTCAAAATGTTCAGTATAGTCTCCTGTTAACATGAGTATATTTTAAATGGAACCTTGTTGATATTGGAGAGAGTTGGAGATCTGCCCTGGTCACAAGCAGAGGGGGACATTCAAATGTAGGCTCCTAGGAAGATTTTTTTAAGAAATGGAAGAGAACTTTGAAGAATAATGTCAGTCACCTATCTAAAGGACAGCTGCCTTATTTTTGAGGACTAGCTATCTTCTTTCTATGCACACTTCTTTTTCATCTCAAAAACTCTCTTGTTCTTACAAAAATACTTGTTTAAGGGACTGGAAAACATACCAATGCGTTAAAAATATACTCTGAACATTACATAATTCTTAATTCCTTAGGCTAGGTGTTTCTCTGGGGCAATAGTAATGCAAAAAAAAAGCATCAATGAAATCAAAATATTCTTTTTAAAAATCTGAATTCTCATAAAAGCATCCAAAAATATATTAATTGTTCAACAAACAGAAAATTGCCCTCTCAATTATATCTACTTTTGTTTAAATTGCTCATTCTTAAAAAGTTGGCAACCAGAGAATAGAGAGGGACAAAGCTCAATGGATAATCCATCTAAGAATCTAAGCATTTCATGTTTATGAAATAACACACAAATCAAGGATCATTACTTTTCATAAAAATCCATTTCATGTATCTCAAGGTCTATGATTTTCCAGAAAGGGTTAACAATGACTGAGAGAAAAATGAGCTGGGCACCTTACCTAGCATCTGAGACCACTGGGGTCTTCCAGTATAGACACTCTGCTCAAAACTCAGACAATTCAAATTACATGCAAAGCTGTAATTATTATAGAAAACTGGATTATAATTTTCTTGGCAATCACCCATGAAAATATTCCCCAAATCTATTTAAAAATTGAAAACAGACTAAGATCTCTAAGCATATCTAGGAACTATCTTGCTATGCTAGCTTCATTCAACCTAAATTTGCATTTATTCCTTAATCATAGGCTGAATCAGTTCTCTACCAAGAGGAAACAAATTAATTCTGGGCTCCTGAGGAAAGACCCTAGTAGGTCTCTTATTTCGTACAGATAATAAAGATGCAATCAACTATGATCAAATAATCACAGTACCATTTAATATCACTGGGACAATTCAACAGGAAAAGCACATTTCCATCTTTGAAGAACACATACACACATGTATACACATTCATACATATACATTATGCATATATATACATATGTAATATATAACACATATCAACATATCATACACACACACACACACACACACACACACACACAGAGTCTTTCATATCTTTGACCTTACAAAATAAAAGCCAAAGAGTCTAAATTTCTTTTTATCTCACAGTGAAATAATTGAGAGTATATTCAAGATGCCAGAATTCTATGTGGAATGTCTAGGAGGGGCAGTTGATGTCTACAGAAATTTTTTTAAGAAATACCCTGTCTTAAAAATAAACCAAAAAATAAAATTTCTACTTCTGCCTTTAGGATGTTCAGAATTATATTACAAATACTTTTACCTCAGAAAAACTTTCTCCATCAAAGTCTAAAGCCCGAACTTCCATTATTTGACAAGAATTCACATAGATTCCAGCATTATTCAGTGTTAAAATGCCCTTGAGAAGGATTTCCATTATTAATCATGACTATAATTTATTTAATAAGACTTCTGAGCTAGGAGCAAATTGGATTATGAGGCTATAGAGGTGAATTTGAGGAAGGGAACTGAGATCACAGCAATCTCCTCTCAATGATAGCAGGCTCTAAAAGAATTCTCAACAAGAAGGCAGAAAACCAGAGCTGGAGTTCATCTATTCAATCTAGGTATCATATCTCTTATCTTAAAAATAAGAAGGCTTAATTTGATGATCTCTAACGAGATTTTAAAAATGCAAGGACTTTCATAAAGTAAGGTAGCTCTGGCTAGAAGTCCATAATCAGTCATAAAGGGCTAGCAAGTAGGGAAACAAAATGTCCCTAAGATGATCATGAAACCACTGATGGAAAAAAGAGAGGAGGCACTGAAGGAAGCATCTCCTTTATTGAAATTACATGAGTAAGTTCCAGTGCTTACTTAATGTGTTGAAAAGCACTTCTATGGTGAAATCATAGGAATGCCTCAGGAATAAAAGGACCATAAACAGAGAGGGAAGAAACCTGGGTACACATTGGATCACTGCTTTCTCAAATTTGGATTTTTAAAAAGTGTAAAAAAAAAAAAAAACAGTTTTACCCAGGGAAACAATTTCTTAAAATTAACAGGATGATTAGCAGTATTCTTGGATTTGCTGGAAAATTAAAAATGGTGACCTTTATGTTTTCTATCAAGAGCACTAATATTGAAATACCTTAAGTAAAATTCACTCCTTCTTTCAGCAGAAATTTACATGTGCCTAGTCTGTGCTTATATTGGTTGTGAAAAAAAGATATGATTATAAAAAAGATATCCCCTTCTGAAGTTTACAATATAGTATAAAAAACAAGAGATATATTAATAAATTCAATGAAATGTGATGCAACTGTACTAAGCACAGGTTAGGGGTTTGAAAGAAGAGGAAATGTTTTTGTTTTTATTTATACTTTTGAAAGATCACAGTTTCTTCACTAGCCAAAGTCCAGAATTCATACTAACCAAAGTCCAGAATTTCTAAAGATAAGTTCAGACACTTATTGAAAAAGAGCAGCTCCTAAGCCATCTGCATTGCCCAAAAATTAAGATCAGTCAGAGGCAAACTTTCATTTCACTCCAATCCTGTGAGAATATTATCATCAGATGGGGAAAGTAACATTTGTTTTGTAAATGACATGGTAACAAATCTTGATTTATAAAATGGCTATAGTCAAAGCTCCTTTTGGATTAAAAAAAAAAAGCAAACCATCATGTGAGCCCAAAAGTCACTCACTTTCAGCAAATTCCTTTAATCCATTTAAGTGTCCTGTTACTAATCTTCTGATGAAGAAATATACAAAACACAGAACTTAAAGTGAACAACAGAACCTTGTTATAATCAGACAGAAATACATTACAAAATACGCTTGAGGGTGTAAAAAGAAATCATTTCTCAAATTCATATCACACAAAACTTTAGATTATAGAAATAGGCTAAACTAATGTATTTTTACCTGGTAAGGAACAATACTGCCATGAGCAGTGCCCCAACGTTTTGCTTCCTTTTGGCCAATGAGATAATTAACAGCTACCTGGGTCAAACATGCCACCTGCCAGAAAAAAAAAAATTAAAGAAAAATAAAAACAGTTAAGTTTATCCATATTCATGAACAGAATATTATATGAAAGTTATTTCATATCGTGTCATTATAGAAGAAAAAAACTGTCTAACCAGTTAGAAAATATACAGGCATTTATACACAGTGTGATGTTATTGCTTGAGACTAAATAATAGTCAACTGAGAAATATAAACACATAAACATTCATCTCCTGAAAAGATAATCTGAAGACAGAAGGTGACCAAGCATTTGGATCTTCAGTCCAGCCCTGAGCATCAAAGCCATAACAAAACACATGGGCCATGAGCACATGCTTTTCTCCTCTCCACCTGTATCCTTTCACTTTTCACCAAGACAACACATGAAAACCATTACTGGGAAGATGAACCAAAGTCAGAAGCTACATTCTTCTAAACTTCTCATACATAAAAAATAATACTAGTAAGCTTGAATTTGGTTTAAGTCAGTTTAGTTGGGTTTTCTGTTACATGTTGCCCAAGAATCCTGACACAGAGTAGCAAGATTTTTTGATATTTTTCAAATATACTAGTGAACCATCCTCATTTAAACAAAAATTTCTATACCACTCCCAACTTGGCCCTAACCCCCATACCCTCATTATTATACTCATTTCTCTTTGTGAGCACCAGAATCTACTAAAGAAATCATCTAAAACCTCAGGGTTCACTTCTGAATCTTGCAGTATTTCATGAACAGATCTTGAAATCCTACAATACTTCAATTATCTATGAGGATAGCATAAGGATGTGAATTTGGGGTTTTGGGTTCCAATGAATACCTGTACCTGCAGGGACCAGAAATATGTAAAGGAGTTGATCAAATGGTTTCCCATATTTTCCGGGGTGGGGGTGGGAGAGATGCTTCTGGCTTCATGACATAACCATGATATTGCATTGACTTGTTTTTTCCCTATCTAGATCATCAGATGTGACTGGAAGCCTACAAATACATCAATTCAAACATTGAGACTACATCCTGGAATGACTCAAGGGTTGATTTTTTTATTTTTTATTTTTTTTTTTTTTTTTTTTTTTAGGGCTTAGTGCCATAACCTTTTCTTGTCCTCTACCTGGCATGGTAGCTGCACCTCCTACAAGAAATATCAATAGGACTCACCCTGGATGAATCTCCTTGCTGGAACAGCTATTCTCCTTTACTTTATTCTTGAGCTTTATGTGCATTTTTACATTCATTTACTGCTCTGTTGAAATTGGAACTGCCTTGTGGCAGCTGGTTCAGCTGTACTGCCCAGGTGGCAAAACTAATAAACTTTGAGTCATCCACTTCTGGACTTCCATCTGGTCTTGGGCATTTGAACCATGGAGCACTCCAGGGCTGCCTGGGGCTGCCTAGTGCTAATCACCATTTCACAGATCACTTCTGTGTCTTTCAAAATGGAAAATAAAATCAACATTTTGTAGTTAAAAATGCCCTGGATGAGAAGTCCAGATTCATGACTTCTAATTTCTGTCAACCTCTAAGTAGTTTTCGTGACTGCAGGTATATAATTTAACTTATTTGACCTTCAAATACATTCTCTGTAAAGTCTTGGACATTTAAACTAAACTGATTGTTTTTAAACTTAAAAAAAAATCAAAACTCTTACATAAAATCAAATAACACATGAAATCCTAATACATAAGCAGGTAATTTCCAAAGTGCTTTGGATGAATCAGAGTCAAGCCTGCAACATCATACAGGGAGCATGAACACTGATCACAATTTGCAAAATAGTACATGATCTTAAATTTGCTTCCAAGGTCTATGCTTCTGATTCTATTATTCATCCTAACAGTATGGAAGATAAAAATACAGAAGGAATGCAATCAAATCACTTCCTCAAAGTGCCTCTTCCTGAATTTGGGGAAATTTTATCAAGTCTGAAGTTCTATAAGAGAGGCACTTCTTTGATCTAGCTTTGATGTAGTTATGTTGTGGCTGTTTTTTTCCTTCAAATAAATCCTAATGAAAGTCACCCTTTAAGGAGTTTGGATGCAACTGGAGGCTAATAATTCAAATTAATAAAGGTAATTCCTTGCAAGCAATTAATCACAAGAGGCTTGTTATTTCTACTTCTCTACTTCAAAGTCAACTGGTGGTCAATAGAACAACATTAGCAAGGCCTGCATAAGGTAACAGATCAGCTGGATGATCACAAGTTTGTCTATAAATCCTACAACAACCTGAGATATTTGCCTGGAATTGGCAAGGGCTGGGTTCTAAGCTAGTTATCAACCTGGCTGCCCCATCTCTTACCCACTACCTTATTCTTTCAATTTTTGACCCTGACCCACTTAGAGTGAATTTAAATGAAGGGTCAGAACCTATCTCAGAAATTATTGATAAGTGGAAGACCATATCTACTTCCTCCATGCAGTGGTAATTAATGAAAACAAAAAGCAATTCAGAATCAGCAGGGCTACCACTTGGCAGAAGATTAAATAAGATTTTAAGCTCATTGCCACTGAAAAAACAAAGTGTGATTTGTCAGTAACTACTCAAAGGCAAAGTTAAGGGGGAAAATGAACTCTGTTTACAAAAAGAAAGCAACAGGGCTAAACTTAGTAACTCAATATTTAAAGGAGGCATTATAAATCTGAAAGTAATCCACTATTTACAAGGATTTATTTTAAGGCAGGAGAAGGGGGAGAAAGTCAATAGCTATGACATGATTGTGTATGAAAAATCAGAGGTTTCCTGGGCAATTAATGACAAATTTTCCACAAATTAAAAGAATGCAGGATGTGACTTTTAGGTTAATAACTATATACTGTATATCCATTCTAAATATTGCATTGGATCATTACTTTCATCCCCTACACTTAGGCTCATTATTTCATCAAGTGGACGCTATATAATTTATTCAGAATGTTGCCTTTATATGGTTTCATCTAAACAAAAAAAGCCATCTCTGGTTTAATAATAATCATTCTGACAGCAAAACTATTATTTTAGATAACAGAGTGTGTCCTGATATTTTTTGTTTCTAACCAGAAAACCAACGGGGTGGTCAAAGTGGATCTCAAAAAGAACAGCCCGAAAAGATTTGAGGAAAAATATGCTCAAATATTGTCCAAAGCACCTTCATGATGTCTGTCACTACCTGATCACGTGTGTCATTCCTCCAAATGATCAAGCTGCAATAATAGAATCTTTAGTCTCTAAAAGGGAAATAAGTTTGGCAGGTAAAGTATGTACTATAAACCCTTTGTATGTTCTCATAAAACAAAACTAGAACTATGGTCCATTGCATCAAAACAAGTAAGTTTTTTCTTCCTGCTATGTGCATATGTTCTGGCCTCCAACTAAGTTGGACTAAACACCAACCATGCAACTAACTTCTCCCATATTTCTAAGCATTCTTGAAAGTCCATTTCAACATCATCTTGTATTAAGCCCAACTCCCATAACCCAAGCAAGAAAATATTTTTCCTGACTCTGAATTAATACAATGCCATAAGACTCTTTCTGCACTTTCATAGACTGCCTTATCCTATGATTATAATTTTAAGATGACAAACTTAAAATGACCTAGATCAATTGTTCCTAAACATAGTTGTACATTATAATCACCTAGGGAATTCCAAGACCTACCCAGAACTCCTGAATCCAGAAACAGAAGCTGGGGGAAAAAACAATTTAACCAGTGAACTATTAGTTGCACATCTTATTTAAGAATCAAAGCCTTGAGAAAATTCAGTCAAATTACTTAATAGCTGACTAAATAAAGAAATAGAGAGGAGGCATAACTTATCTGAGGTCACCCAGATGATAAACTACTCCACTTAAATTGCTGTCTCCCTTGCTATGATAATATTTGTTTCTTCTCCTATATCTCCTTTTAAAGTCGTGTCTATTTTAGGGTAGAAAATATGTACTATAAAACCCTTTGTATGTTTTCATAAAACCTAAACAGAGCCTGAACATTAAATTTCTTAACAAAAGAGTTAAAAAATGATACTACTTGTTTTTTATATAGTGAGTGCCTCTATATATAAGGTATTATGCTAGGTATGGAGTATAAATGAGTAAATGAAAACTATATAATCCAACCTCCTTTGGACTTAAGAACAGTAGGCAAGATAACTAAACAGTTACAGACATACAGAGTAAAAAACCTGAATGTAGACCATACAACTGAAGCATGGTGAAAAGAGACATGAAATAAAATTATAGAGATTGTCAGAGGCCAGATCATGCCAGTCTTTGTAAGTCATGGTAAAGAACATTCTTTGCACATCTTGCAGAATGGTCATTTTAAAGTAACAAATTGTATCATGTCATCCTTCTATTTAAAATTCACAGGGCTTCCCACTGCATTTGCAATTATATGCAAAGAATAAACTAAAAAGAGACAAGAGAAAAAGAGAACTGTTATGGACACTGCAAGAGTCCAGGCATGTTGATGATAGCTCAAACTAGGTCAGTGGCAAGAGACATAGAAAAAAAACAGTGGATTTAAGATATATTTCAGGGGCAGGAAGAATAAAAAATATTGCATGAGAAGAGTCTAGGAGATAGAACACTGATGGAGAGGAAAAGATAAACATAAATTCCATATTCCTGGCTGAATATCTGGGTAAACTATGATGGCATTAAAAGTAATAATAAAGTCAGAGAGGAACAATTAAAAGGGGAAAGAAAATAAGACCCCATGTCAGAATAAGCTAAATTTGTGATGCCTGTGACAGAATCAACAGTCATCAACATATGAAAAGTTTTTGAAGTCATTAACTAGGGAAAACAGAAGATAAATACAAAATCAGAAATAATATAAAACAAAAGAAGATAAATCTTCATGTCAAAGACAGTCCTTCCTCCAATCACAAGTATGGTAAAAAAAAATGTAGTTACAAACTACTAGAACCAATTTAAATGCCCAAAAAATAAGAGGTAAGTTAAATACCTTTGATGTTCACATGTAATAGAAAATAATGCTGGCACTTAAAATTATACAACAGAAGAATAT